AACTTCAGCTGCAGCATCAGGGGTGGAGGATCATATGATTCAAACCCTGGGGAGATGGTCATCTAACTGCTACTCTAGATATATACAATCTTCTAACCAGGTATTGGGGAAGGCACAACAGCAGATGTGTATGAACAACAAAACTAGTCATAAGTAATAGAAAAGTGTTATACATGTAATGCTGTCACTCCATACATACATATATATATATATATATATATTATTTCTTCTTTGGGGCACTCGTATTTAAAGTTGATCAAATACTCGTTTTGGCCTCAATATCAAACTTTTGGGGACAACCATTTGTTTACCCCCAATTCAGATGGATGGATAAAGATAATGGGTAGAGGTCTACCTGCAGTTTAACAATATATGGGCAGCAGGCATATCCTATTTAAGCCCTTTCCAAACAAAATAACAAACAGTGGTACAAGCATAGACATAGACATTAGAACACATACAAACGCATACAAACACATACAAACATATACAAACATATAAACAAGTTGGTATTATCAAATTTATAATCAAATTAGTGGAAACAACTACTAATACTCATTTTTATTATAATTTAATCTAATGGTTTAAATTCTAACCTTTTATTTTGATACCGAAAAGACATATAATATATATATATATATATATACATATTATGAAGAGAAAAGAAAAATAATTTGTTGATGGAGCTGCATGTATAAACATTTGATGGGATTAAATTACCGCACCAAACAGATACAGGCCAAAAAGTCCATTGTATCACGCAAGGCCATCCACTGATGAGTTTGGAAATTCAATCCCAACAAATAGTTATTTTATGCATATTAAACACAGGTTAGATATATAATTAACATGTCTACCACTTTAACTATATATGGTAGAAGTCTATCAGTGTAGCATTAGATGGTAGAAGTCTACCAGTTTAATTATAATAGATGTTTGAAGTCTACCAGTTTTAACAATAGATGGCAGAAGTCTACCATTTTAACTATAGGTTGGTAAAAGTCTACCAGTTGATTTATATATATAAGTAGAGTCGTACGAGTAGCCCCCGAGAAGCCACTGTTGGGTTGTTGTGTAGGGTTGGTAAGATAGGATTTATGTAGGTTTGTAACGTGGTGTTGTATATTTTATGCATATGCTTATGTGGAACATTGTAAGAACAATGTGAAATTATGGTTACTATGATTAAAACATTTCTGCTGTTATTTCTGTCTTGTTGTATTGTGTGTAAAATCAAAATTATCAGACTTCTGGTTCATTATTAAAATAAGTGTTTAGATGACTCAAATTTTACCCCTTTTTTCCTTCGAAGAGGAAAGCCCCTTTTATTCCTAATCTGAATCGATATCATTTCGGGACACTTACACCAAATTTGGTTGTAATTCGTCTTGAGGTTCTTGAGAAGAAGAGGTTCAAATAAAATTTACAAAAGGAAGATTGACGACTGATGGTAAGGAGTTTCAGGAAACACAGTGTCTTCATATTATCAATAAAATACACCTGAAGTAAGATGATTATATTATTCAAATGATGCTCAAACATGAGGCCTTAGGTGTTTGTAGTAACAATGAATTGACAGACAAATATTCAAAACAAGAGGCCCAGAGGGCCTGTATCGGTCAACTGGAAATATTAGCAAAGTTGAAGTTGAAATAGCCAGATGTTGCTGGAAGTGTACATGCATTACATAGTTAGTCAGGGGTTGTATTTATATGCAATTGGACAAATCCTGTCATTCCTACAGAAAAAGGAGGATTTGAATAATTTGTAATGTTTCCTATATTGGGCCCGCCCCTCTGCCCCCAGGGGTCAGACCCACCGTTGATACAAAATTAGGTCTCCTTCACCTAATAATGCTTTAGACTAAATATGGAAATAATATTGTCATTCCTACAGAAGAAGAAGGATTTTAAAGCTATTTTTCTATTTTCCCTATTTGGCCCTACCCCTTTGCCTCAGGGGGTTCAATCACATCATTTATACAAAATTGATTTCTCTTCCAAATAGGATGCTACTGTTCAAATTTGGTCAAAATACCTTCATCCCAACGGAAGAAGAAGGATATTAAAGCTATTCCTCTATATCCCTTATGGGGCTCCGCCTCTCTACCCTCTGGAGGGCCACACCCACCGTTATACAAAATTGGTTCCCCGTCACCTAAGGATGCTTCAGACCAAATATGGAACAAATCCTTTCATTCCTACAGAAGAAGAGGGTTTTAAAGAATTTGTTATATTTCCCCTATCGGGCCCCGCCCCTCAGCCCCTGGGGGCCAGACCCACCGTTTATACAAAGTTTGCTCCCTTCACTCAAGAATGCTTCAGACTTAATATGGGCCAAATCATTTCTTTCCTACAGAATAATAAGGATTTTAAAGAATTTGCTATATGTCCCCTCTTGGGCCCCGCCCCTCAGCACCCAGGTGGGCCAGACCCACCGTGTATACACAATTGGTTCCCTTCACCCAAGACTGCTTCAAACCAAATATGGACCAAATCCTTTAATTCCTACAGAATAAGAAGGATTTTAAATAATTTGATATACCCAAGGATGCTCCAGACTTAACAAGGATAACACCCCTTAATCTTTACGGTAGAAGAAGGATTTTAAAGGTTTTAGCTCTATTTCCCTTATTGGGTCCCACCCCTCTGCCCCCAGGGAGGGCCACACCCACCATTTATACAAAATCGAGCCCTCTTGGCTTAAGGATGCTCCAGACCAAATTTAGTCAAAATCTACTTGGCCGTTCAGGACTAGTAGCGTTTTAAAGGAAAAGTTGACGGACGGACGGACGACGGACGCTGCGGTATGGCATAAGCTAACCATGCTAAAAATGACAAAATTGCAATCGTCACTTAAGACTGTTTATATAATACAAACGATTAAATCGGGGTAATTTAAGATATTTTTCAAATGAAAAGTGTCTTGTTTTCTCAGTTATTTCCTTTCTAATTTACATTTTGCAACTTTACGCAATTCAGTACACTTAAACACAAAGCATATTCACTACACACTTTCCTTTTGTTTTATACTGAATTAAGGCTTCTGGACTCATCACAAACTCGGCAATTTCAAAGACCTCTCTATCTTAAGTGAATTAAAAGGTGCAGGACACCCTTTATATGCTATAAGTATAAAAAGTATTAAAAGGTAATATTGTATATCATATATATCATATATCTTGCGCAGCACCTGTGCCTAAAGTGAGTTCCAAGACCTGATTTGTTTTCTTACCTATCAAAGTTAATTGACAAATAAAAAAAAATGCATTTGCCACCACAATTACAGTAAAATGATGAATTTAATATATGAAGTTTGATTTGCTGGTAATTTTAAGTCTCCTAGCCTAAAGGAAAGGATCTGTTTTAATCAATTAAGTTATAATCCATTTCATTGTTTTATCAATTGTTCTGCCCATTTCAAAATGATTCAAATATGTGCAAGTGGATTGGCTTACCCATCTGGGGAGGGTTGTGGCAGGAGGGGATTTAGTACAGCTTCTAGATTGAAAGATTGAAATAGCTGAGATTCCAACCCTGTAACCATACATCACCATACTCCTGTCATTAAAAGAGAGACATTTTACTTAAACGCCTCTTTCCTGACAACTCTAATCAATTGCACTGCACTTTTGATGACAACATAACATAATTGACAACAGATGACATAAACCTCTCTGTGTATTGATTCCACATTTTATTTCATTATAAATCCATTTATTCATTTTGGTTGCTGTTGCAGACAAAGAGAATATTATACATATCGTGTTTCATTTAGCTTGTAATAATATAACAAGATGACCAATGGGTCTGATCGCTCACCTGGTATTAATCACTTGTTATGTTAAAAGTGGACTAAAATAAAGCTACAGGCCAAATATCAGTGTTTAATTCAAATTAATCTATTAAACGATTTAAACATGTAGCACATGTGACCTTGAAAGTCAAACAAGGACATTAAGTTGAACAAATTTTATAGTCTTTCATACCAGCATGCTTCTGGCCAAATATCATTACCCTGGACCTTTACATTATTTAGAAGTTGTTTAAAGATTTCAAAATATTTTACCCTTGTGGCCTTGTAAATCGGTGAAGTTGATTCATTTGAACAAACTTGGCAGCCCTTCATCCCAGCATGTTCCTAGCCAAATATCATCGCCCTAGGCCTCTTGGTTATTCAGAAGAAGTTGTTTAAATATTTAAAACATAATTGACCCCTGAGACCTTGAATATAGGGCAAGGTCATTCATTTGAACCAACTTGGTAGCCCTTCATCCCAGCATGCTACTGGCCAAATATCCTCATCCTAGACCTTTTAGTTATTCAGAAGAAGTTGTTTCGAAGGGTATTTTACATATTTGACCCCTGTGACCTTGAATATAAGTCAAGGTGATTCATTTGAACAAACTTGGTAGCCCTTTATCCCAGCATATTACTGGCAAAATATCATCACCCTGGGTATTGTGGTTATTCAGAAGAAGTTGTTTAAAGTTTTTCACATATTTGACCCCTGTGACCTTGAATATAGATGAAAGTCATTTATTTGAACTAACTTGGTAGCCCGTCATCTCAGTTTGCTTCTGGCCAAATATCGTCACCCTAGGCCTTTTGATTATTGAGGTTGCTCCAGACTAAATATGGAATAAATCCTTTCATTCCTACAGAAGAAGAAGGATTTTAAAGAATTTGCTATATTTCCCCTATTGGGCCCCGTCCCTCAGCCTCCAGAGGGGCCAGACCCACGGTTTATACAAAATTGGTGCCACTTTAACCAAGGATGCTTCAGACGAAATATGGAACAAATCCTTTCATTCCTAAAGAAGAAGAAGGATTTTAAAGAATTTGCTATATTTCCCCTATTGGGCCCCGCCCTTCAGCCCCCAGGGGGCCAGACCCATGGTTTATACAAAATTGGTTCCCCTTCCCCCAAGGATGCTTCTGATTAAATTTTGTCAAAATATGCTCAGTCGTTCATGACTAGTAGCGATTTTTAGAAAAAGTTGACGGACGGACGACGGACGCTGTGGTATGGAATAAGCTCACCATGGTCCTTCGGACCAGGTGAGCTAAAAATTACATCAGCATGCCCGTAAACTCTGACAATGTCGGTATCTGCTCTGTTCATAGTGGACATGTCAAAAAGACAGAATCTAGGACATCAAAATTCAAGGACAACTTTCCTACACAAAGAAGAATTTCAAAACAATCTGTCTGCCCTGAAACGCAACACCGCCAATTTCAGGACGTGACTTCATGTGTATAATGTATAGGTGTGTGCTGGAGGTGGTATATTGGTGTATTAGCTTAGCTTAGCTTTATGATTGTTTGCTTTTTCCTTTATCAATGTTTAGAGGTTTAAGTCTGTAGAGTGTATCAAAAGGATGCAGTAAAGATGAGAAAAGGATTGATATACATATCATTTTTTGTAATAATGTTTCTTCTAATATATATCCAAGAATCATTCCAGTGCTTAAGGACCCCAGAGCCACTGCCAAAAACTGTACCTAAATGTTGTAAACTGTTTTTGCCATCATGACTATAGCGTTGATAAACAATTTCTGAAAAATAAGTCATACCTTGTTCGTCTTTAATAAGAAATAATAAAGATGAAATATTCAAAATATAACCAACAACAGTGTTTTAAACAAAATCAGCGTTGCTAGACTGTGATTCGAACCATGGACTTTAGATTGATATAATAATGCTCTAACCGATTGAACTATCTGGTCAACAGAAGTGCCCTATACAGAAAGCAACGGTTGACTTCCTCATATAATTTCAAATACATGAATGTATTTGACATTAACAAAACTCTTGTTTAAAAACACAAAACATTTTCAATAGCTTTTTTTATAAATACATAGTATTAATATTTCAATATAAATTTGATTAAAAATATTTTCAATGTAGAGCTATACTGCAGTTCATTTTTGGACGTTATTTCAATGTTTTGCAAAAATTGTTCCTTTACAGTGACCAGTCCATTTTGACTCCATTGTTCGCTAATAGTGCTGCATCAGCTATTGAAAAACACTTACAGTTCTCAAATTTCTTATATGACAAAGGTGACGGATGAGCAGTTTTGATTATGGTGTGTTTTACTTTGTCAATTAAACTCTCCTTTTCATGTGCAAAGTTGCCCCAGAGAATAAAGACGACACCAGAGCAATTCTCACTAATAATTTGGATGACTCTGTCTGTAAATTTCTGCCAGCCATACTTGGCATGAGAGTGCGAGCGGTTGGCGCTGAAAATACAGAGAAAAGAAAAACGATGGTTTATAATAGGTAATGCTAGGGAGGTTAACTTCCATTTTGCTTGCATTTATGTTACAAAATAATATGATATAAAGTAAGGAAAAACTCAATTTGAGCCCATGTTGAGAGAAGATGTGGCCTAAATAACGTAATTATAACTGAACATTGAATACTTATATTATTATATTATATTATGAAATTAAGTAATACAGAGGTCATTTTTTGTATTAATATTTATATTGTTTTAACTTTCATAGACAATTACAATTCAGCATATTCACCAGTGTTCCTACAAACACGTTCTGAAATATATCTGTACAATATGTATTGATTTACCTAACATGGTGTCATCATCATTATTATTATTATGAATGATCAGCTATGTGTTTGACTCGTGACCTCTTGTTTACCGAAAAAGCTATTCTCCTTGTCAAGTTGGTAGGAAGTAGAAACCATTACGAATATTCTGCGCATTAATGTTCAATCTCCTGGCTTTTTCCACCTTGCCACATCCCTGCCGTTCGAAGATTGAGGACAAGCATACACCTGCTGTTACCCACTGCATATTGTAAGAGCCACTTACTGTGGGAACCCACTGCAGATTGTGAGGATTTGCTTTCCTGGGACACAAAATGACCAAAATAAACTGCTGTATGCATTGCTACATCTTTGATCTCTATATTTTCTCTCTGTTTCCTAACAACCTTAATAGTCCTAGCACCCTTTTTGGCAATATCTCCCTTTCGACTTTAGCATAGAATGTTCCCCAATGTGGGGTAGGCAATAGGTTATATTTGCAGGCTGGGACATACCAGCATCCTATGGTAGCATAAACTGTATTCCCTGCTCAACGTTAATCATTTGGCAATGACAACAACTTTATAACCTGTTGCCAGTATAATGTTACCAGGTAGATAACGTCCACGCATAATGCTATATCATTCACCTTTGAAGGAGGTATTTTCAATGTATGTTGCATGTTCTTACTTACTATGTTGTAAGTGTAGCATTGAGAAGAAACACTCCCCTGCTCGCCCAAGTTTCCAAATTACCATGAGTAGGGGTCTTGAAGTCCTTGATTTCGTCATCATTGGTTAGCTCTTTATATATGTTCTTCAATGAAGGTGGTGGTTCCACTCCCAGCGGTACAGAGAATGCCAATCCCATGGCCTGAAAAGAAAAAATATGCAAAGAAACATTCGCAATGCAAAAAAAACATTAATAGAGTTTGCTCAAACGAATTTGGTAAATGCAGTCCGTGTGGAAAAAAATGAACACAGGACAAAACAAATGGTGACTGGATAGGACCTTTAGAATTCGGTATTAGATACAGCATGCCAAAAGTGATTAGTAGTGCTCTATGACGAATATGAAATGAAAGAAAAAAATCAAGAGTGAGCAACAAAGACAAAATAACATATGCTCGGATGCATTTAACTCCAGCAAACTGTGCAGATTGAGGATACCAACACTAGATATTACCTAATAGACACTTTGGAAAGAAACTGCGAAATCACAATTTTTGTCTGGTTTTTGTTTTCATTGGTAATCTTCATACATGTATTCATAGGTCTATGAATAACTTGCAAAAATTTTATATAAAGGAATTCTCCATTTGAGTGGGTACTCGTAATTCGCAGATTCAAGTACCCACGAAATGGTGTTTTTAGGGAAACCACTAAATTTGGGCCCGACAAAAATATGTGATTTTACAGTATGATCTATACCTATACATATATAAATAAAATAAGCTAGCTGCTTTCACCCTTCACATGGCTCTTCAGGTATACTATCCTCGATATCCAGGGGTTACGCTCACCTTTGCTCTCTACAACCCTGGAATATGTCATAGCAAAAATGAAGGCACGCGGCTAGCTATTCGATTGGTGTCAGGTAAAAAAAACCTGATCAATCACTAGTCTGATACATGTCCTTTGAAGATTGCAAAGGAGTGACGTCCGACTTCAAAGCCTAAATAGTCTTCTCGTCTCATCCACAAGGTGGCACACACTGAGCCGTCAATTTTGCTATGACATATTCCAGGGGTATAGAGAGCAAAAGTGAGCGTAACCACTGGATATCTAGGATGCAGGTATAAATACATATAGCTATGACATCATGAAATTGACTATTCAATTTTCTGAGTATGGCTAATACTCCTATTGGCAAGATCAGTCTAAATGAGTGGACATTTCCACAAACTTTATATGAAACACAGCTGATCAAAAATCAGAAAAAACTCGTACTGATATTTCTAACAATGTCCTGTAAAGTACCATTTAAGGTGTAATATCATCTTCTTGGACAAGTCATTAAATTGATAATTGTTGGAAAGAACTTCACTATACACCTAAACTCTCCTACAAGAAACAGATTCAACAAAAGTGGTGCACTCACATATAATATCTTCAAATCAATGATTTAATCAAAATAGTTTCATTCAAATTAAAGATTAGTTCAAAAGGAATTGTATCGAATTGGCGAAATAATGTTCATACTTCTATGAAAGATTATTGGCAAGTACAAAAACACTATAGAAATAAATAAAAAAAACCCAGTTAAAACGATACTAAAAACTATTGACCATGGTTTACATTTTCAAACAAACATTTCAAAAATGTATGATTTGTAACATTCAAATGAAGCATCTACATAAGCAATATTAAAGTTTTACTTTCTACACAAACTAAACGTGTCGCAACTTTTCAAGACCGATTGATCCCTTTGCCAAGCCATGACATAGTCCTAGCTTGACAAAGGGACCAGTCGGTCTTGAAATGTTATGACACGTTCAATACATACATTGTTTGTGTAGAAAGTAATACTTTGATATCCTATATTTCCAAACTGATGAATTTCATTGAACATCTACATACGCATTACAGGATTTAGCTTCAGTTTAATTATTGTACATATTATCAAGCTTTGAAAAATGGCCGATATAGTTTCCTTACCTGTCCGTCGGCATGGTACGGATCCTGTCCCACAATTACAACTTTCACCTGTAAGGCAATGAGTATCATTAGTGACCTTGAGAGAGCGATTATTGTAGTACTACCATACTAATAACACGCTTGATGTGTTGATATTTTTGTACCATAACAGATAGCAGTTCATCAGGCTTGGACAGAGTTGCAACTTGCATGAAAGAATTTATATTGCAAACATGTTGAGCTCTAGATATTTGTTACTTGAACAAAAACATCTCTCCCCTAATTTGCTAATTGAGAAACCGCTTCCTTAAATAATAAAATGCATACATATTAACATAAATGCAATTAAAAAAATATGACATGGAAAGTCGCAGTACCCTGAAGACAATTTTGGTTTTTGACATTGATGTCAAGGTCATAGGATTGTAATGACAGTGCACTGCACAATGTTGTGGAAGATGCATGTATACCGCAAGTCTCATAAAATTATTGTAAATCAATTAAAAATTAGAATTGTCTGCATAAATCTGATACTGCTATCTATTAATGAGATGTAGGTGAAGATGAAAACATTTACAATGCTTTGGTTCAAGTAGAGACACTAAACAAGAAAATCAACTAAATTTCTAGAATTCAAAAACAATGAAAAATTCTCAAAATTTCAATAAAATATTTTGAGGAAGGGAATTTTCTTCCTGGTCGGTCAGGTTGAGGCAAACAAGCTCTGTTGTTCTTAGCCTTGAGGTAATTTATAGATCTGGCTTCTCAACAGTTGCTCAAAGAATGATAAGCGTTTACCAGTGGTTAAGGACATTTTTAAAATTTGAATGTACAACAAAATAAAGAACATCTGGCATCATTAAATTGCTGTTTAGACAGTTCAGACTGATGTGTTTTGAGGATTTATTTTGTTTTGAATACACTTGTTTCTTATTGGCATTTTTATTTTTCACCAACCACTGGTTATAAAGGTAAACAACCTTAAAGTAACTGGGCCTGGTTTATAACTTAATCGGACTTTCCTAAACTACCCCTTACCCTAACCTGAACAAGCATTGTAGGTAGCCCAGGAGCCAGGCTAGCAACATTTTTTTTTTTTCAAACCGGAATGATTAAATATTAAAGGATGAAATAGTGCCTGAATTGACGACTGGTGCAAATATTTCCCGAGGCAACACTAAACATTAAATTGCTATAACTTTGTTTAGACAGTTCAGACTGATGTGTTTTGAGGATTTATTTTGTTTTGAATACACTTGAATACATCAAAGTATCCTCAACAGAAGGCAATACTGGATTCAGTGCATAACATAACTTTAAATATTGCCTTTTAAATAATGATGTATATAACAATAGTAGTTTGTCATCTGGTGATCAGTTGACAGTAATCTGGTGATTACTTATGCTGTAGTAAAGGAAGGCTACTCTAAGTTTCAGTGTATGGTAAGGAATGGGAACTATAACTTCACACTACAATTGTTCTTATCCATTCAATTTCCAAGATTGTATCATGTGTTGCACTAGTTAGTACTTATCTTTGAGAGCTGACTATATCATTACTTCATTGTTGAAGGATAAAATAGAGCTTGATACACAATTAACAAAATAAATCTCAGTATAAACACTGCCAGGGTTATTTGACCTATGTTCCTGTCCATATTTGCATGAAAGGGACCACAATACATTCTGGAATATAATGCACTTTCAGTTATAGTGTCCTCAACAGGAGGTAAAAATAGTTTCAGTACAACTTATGATAATGAAATAAACTTATAAAATAAGAAAACAATGTAATAGTATTATTGACATCACATGTGTGCATTCATTCATTGCATCTTAGTAGAGGTAAGGGGAGGCTACTTTTACACGACAAAACAGTTGCAAAATATTGCAAGGAGTAGGCATTATCACGAAACTTTTCACAAAGTTGTCCAATTGGATACAACATTTTATCACAAGCTTTATTATAACATGTAAATGTATAACAAAATGAGGATTATCTGGAATATTTTCCTTGAACTAGGAAAAAGTTTGGCATTTAATCAGGATGTTTTTAAAATGATGAAGGGATCTTACTGCTTATTGTTGAAATGATGAAGGGATCTTAATGCTTATTGTTGTAATGGTGAAGGTATCTGAATGCTTATTGTTGAAATGATGAAGTGATCTTAATGCTTATTGTTGAAATGATAAGGGATCTTAATTCTTATTGTTGAAATGGTGAAGGTATCTTAATGCTTATTGTTGAATTGGGGAAGGTATCTCAATGCTTATTGTTGAAATTATAAAGGGATCTTAATGCTTATTGTTGAAATGATGAAGTCTTAATGCTTATTGTTGAAATGATGAAAGGATCTTAATGCTTATTGTTGAAATGATGAAGGAATCTGAATGCTTATTGTTGTTGTAATGATGAAGGTATCTTAATGCTTATTGTTGAAATGATGAAGGGATCGTAATGCTTATTGTTGAAATGATGAAGGTATCCTAATGCTTATTGTTGTAATGATGAAGGGATCTTAATGCTTATTGTTGTAATGGTGAAGTTATCTGAATGCTTATTGTTGAAATGGTGAAGGGATCTTAATGCTTATTGTTGAAATGGGGAAGGTATCTTAATGCTTATTGTTGAAATGGTGAAGGGATCTTAATGCTTATTGTTGAAATGGTAAGGTATCTTAATGCTTATTGTTGAAATGGTGAAGGTATCCTAATGCTTATTGTTGAAATGGTGAAGGTATCCTAATGCTTATTGTTGAAATGGTGAAGGCATCTGAATGCTTATTGTTGAAGTGGTGAAGGGATCTTAATGCTTATTGTTGAAATGATAGGGGATCTTAATGCTTATTGTTGAAATGGTGAAGGGATCTTAATGCTTATTGTTGAAATGGTAAGGTATCTTAATGCTTATTGTTGAAATGGTGAAGATATCTGAATGCTTATTGTTGAAATGATGAAGTGATCTTAATGCTTATTGTTGAAATGATGAAGGTATCCTAATGCTTATTGTTGAAATGGTGAAGGCATCTGAATGCTTATTGTTGAAGTGGTGAAGGGATCTTAATGCTTATTGTTGAAATGGTAAGGTATCTTAATGCTTATTGTTGAAATGGTGAAGAGATCTGAATGCTAATTGTTGAAATGATGAAGGTATCTTAATGCTTATTGTTGAAATGTTGAAGATATCTGAATGCTTATTGTTGAAATGATGAAGGGATCTGAATGTTTTTTGTTGAATTGATGAAGGGATCTTATTGCTTATTGTTGAAATGATGAAGGGATCGTAATGCTTATTGTTGAAATGATGAAGGGATCTAAATGCTTATTGTTGAAATGATGAAGGGATCGTAATGCTTATTGTTGAAATGATGAAGGTATCCTAATGCTTATTGTTGTAATGATGAAGGGATCTTAATGCTTATTGTTGTAATGGTGAAGGTATCTGAATGCTTATTGTTGAAATGTTGAAGGGATCTTAATGCTTATTGTTGAAATGATAGGGGATCTTAATGCTTATTGTTGAAATGGTGAAGGGATCTTAATGCTTATTGTTGAAATGATGATGGTATCTTAATGCCAATTGTTGAAATGATGAAGTGATCTTAATGCTTATTGTTGAAATGATAAGGGATCTTAATTCTTATTGTTGAAATGGTGAAGGTATCTTAATGCTTATTGTTGAATTGGGGAAGGTATCTCAATGCTTATTGTTGAAATTATAAAGGGATCTTAATGCTTATTGTTGAAATGGTAAGGTATCTTAATGCTTATTGTTGAAATGGTGAAGGTATCCTAATGCTTATTGTTGAAATGGTGAAGGTATCTGAATGCTTATTGTTGAAATGATGAAGTGATCTTAATGCTTATTGTTGAAATGATAAGGGATCTTAATTCTTATTGTTGAAATGGTGAAGGTATCTTAATGCTTATTGTTGAAATGTTGAAGATATCTGAATGCTTATTGTTGAAATGATGAAGGCATCTTAATGCTTATTGTTGAAATGATGAAGGTATCCTAATGCTTATTGTTGAAATGGTGAAGGTATCTTAATGCTTATTGTTGAAATGTTGAAGATATCTGAATGCTTATTGTTGAAATGGTGAAGGTATCTTAATGCTTATTGTTGAATTGGGGAAGGTATCTCAATGCTTATTGTTGAAATTATAAAGGGATCTTAATGCTTATTGTTGAAATGGTGTAGGGATCTTAATGCTTATTGTTGTAATGATGAAGGTTTCTTAATGCTTATTGTTGAAATGGTGAAGATATCTGAATGCTTATTGTTGAAATGGTGAAGGTATCTTAATGCTTATTGTTGAATTGGGGAAGGTATCTCAATGCTTATTGTTGAAATTATAAAGGGATCTTAATGCTTATTGTTGAAATGGTAAGGTATCTTAATGCTTATTGTTGAAATGGTGAAGATATCTGAATGCTTATTGTTGAAATGGTGAAGGTATCTTAATGCTTATTGTTGAAATGGTGAAGAGATCTGAATGCTAATTGTTGAAATGATGAAGGTATCTTAATGCTTATTGTTGAAATGGTGAAGGGATCTTAATGCTTATTGTTGTAATGATGAAGGTTTCTTAATGCTTATTGTTGAAATGGTGAAGATATCTGAATGCTTATTGTTGAAATGATGAAGGGATCTTAATGCTTATTGTTGAAATGATGAAGGAATCTGAATGCTTATTGTTGTAATGGTGAAGAAATCTGAATGCTTATTGTTGAAATGGTGAAGGGATCTTAATGCTTATTGTTGAAATGATGAAGGTATCTTAATGCCAATTGTTGAAATGATGAAGTGATCTTAATGCTTATTGTTGAAATGATGAAGGGATCTTAATGCTTATTGTTGAAATGATGAAGGGATCTTAATGCTTATTGTTGAAATGATGAAGGGATCTTAATGCTTATTGTTGAAATGATGAAGGTATCTGAATGCTAATTTTTGAAATGATGAAGGGATCTGAATGCTTATTGTTGAAATGGTGAAGGTATCTGAATGCTTATTGTTGGAATGATGAAGGGATCTTAATGCTAAATTGTGAAATGATGAAGGTATATTGATGCTAATTTTTGAAATGATGAAGGTATTTTAATGTTTATCCTACGTTGAAATGATATAGGTATATTTGTTATGCTTATTAAATGCTTCATTAAAACATTAACAGTTGCAACATTGTACTTGATTGGCATACTTCTAATCGGTGTTTTTCCACATACCTCGTCAAACGGCGTTACGTTAAATGCATGAAAGATGCGGTCCTTAGGTGGGAACACCTGTGTATTGTTCGCATAATCACCAGCGAGCTTTGACTGGATACCCTTAAAGTAATCTTTGGTAAATTCCGTCTCGAGCTCACGTCTCCAGCTTTCTTCTGTGATGAAAGAGGACAGGTCTAAGCTATCTGCAGCAGCTCCATCAGAACCTAACAATGGAATAATGAAGTCACAAACTTACAAATTACAATCACATACTGGTGGGTATTCCAAAATGTGTTATATTTTCTAATTGATTAGGTATGTTAAATTATTAACGGATATTTCTGATCACTTGATTATGTTTTTCTTTTTTTATCGGCGTAAATGTACAGGCAAACATCCAGGGTCATATGATGACGGGTGAATACTTCGGGAGACATCACTGGAAAGACATTGGATGGGAAAGAAAGAGAGAAAAGAATAAGATCCCAAATGTTGCAACTGCAAGGGCAGCAAAGCAATTTATCCAATGTCCACTTTGCAGTAAGAAAACCTAACTTTAGGGGGTGGGCACATCAGTCACCTGTTGCGATACACTAGCCCGAGTTTCTCCTGGCCCTGACAACAGACTTAGATATTTTGACAGATAGATGTCTGATGTGGACATCTATCTGTCAAAATGTCCAAGTCTCGTGAAAGGCCAGAGGAAACACAGCCTCAGCGATACACGTGCAGTTAGAATACATCAGGGATTATCCTAAATTTCCCCAAGACATCTTTTGGAACTTAGTGGTATCATTTTATACACTGTACATTTGCTATAAATAGACAGACACAGAAACAGGGCAAGCAATGGCTTTGTTCAACGATGATGACAAGATTAGGAAGCTGTCATTTTAAAATTAAGGAAGTGATTGCTAAATAATAGACCGTTGAGGTAAATCAAAGACTTTGAACCATTTGTTGATAAACAATGTAAATCGCATTAGTTATTAATTTTGCTCTGAATTTGTTCTTATAAAATCTTCAACCGTTGCTTTAGCTAAAAGATGTGGATTTGGTATCAGTTATTTAAGGTTCAACAAGCCCCCTAAAAGATTTAATAGTCACCTAAATTTCAACACCCTGGCAAGTCATAAACAAGAACTCTTACCAAATATCGGAATATATACATGTAATTTAAATATTGAACTTGTACATGAGCTATTAAAAAGGTACATAACCTGCTGCAGTTTTACGAAGTCAAAAAACAGCATTAAGGATGATGTAATGATAAAAGTTGCTCACCAGATTTATAACATGTCAATCTCTCAAAAGACCCAACTGAATGTTACAAAATGACGTGCTATTTGAAGATCATTTATAAACCTAGGTCATGCGGGGCTTATTTCTCTGTAACTGAGTGTGGAAAGGCACATACCGGTGTCATGTGAGATTTGTATCCACCATGGGATAAGTACCCGGATACCAAAACTGGCCATAGGATAAGTATCCGGTTACAATATTTGGCCATAGGATAAGTATCCGGATACAATAAATTGCCATATGATAAGTATCCCCCCATAGAAATTGTATCCCCCATCAATTTTATTATGATATCAATGGGAAAATTGGAGAAAAAAGTTAATTTGATCATTTACCTCGATCAGAAACTTAATTTTTTGTAAACATGCAATGAATCAATATCTTATTTAATAATTGATCGATCTTATTTTATACAATACAAATTGATGGATTTATTAAAACTGTTGAAATTTTTTGAACTGTTGATTAAACCTGGCAAGGTCACTGAAGCAGTGATTATTGACACTTCAATAGAAAGATACGAAGGTCTGTCCTCTGATTACCTGGGGTAGGGGACAACAGTTAGGTGGGTGGGGAATCTGCCCTGGTAATGGCAAGGTGTTGTTTTAATCATTAGCACCTATTACCTGTACACACATGTAGATGTAGGGATGGGGAAAAGGTATAGGTCATTAGGGTCATTCTTACAAAGAAGCTGGAAGAAGCAACATGGATTCAGATGTCATCAACCAAATCATAGATTTTCTTCAAAGTCCAACTCAGAAGAAGAAATGGCCACAGCATGTGATAGTAAGTATACAATATGTAATTTTAAAAAATTACAAAAATTACTAATCATGACTGATTTGTCTTTTACTTCTAGTGATTTTAGTCAGACAATTGCTTTGTTTTAATCACAAATTATCACATTTTAAAAAGACAAAAATAGTTTTTTCCGAGTGTTAGAAATATTCATTTTGTTCTATATACATGTGTATGTACAGCTAATTAATTATAAGATATTATACATATATCTCGCTCGATTTATTATCCAATTATCAAAAAAAAATTAAAAAAAATGTATATTTTTTCATTTGGAAAACAGATTGGTAATAGTAACATATATATCATTAGGAAAAATCATTATTCAAATTTATATCTGTTAATATATATATATATATTAAATTATTAACATTGATTCCTTCAATCAAGATATTTGTCAAATAATGAATAAAGAATATGTACAAGTAACATTTGAATAGCAGAAGACGATTGAAAATATACGCAAAGACACAATTGTTCCAAGAAACATTGTGTAGATACCATTAATGTTAGTCCCATTCAATTAAATATATTATGCAATTATTCATACTGGAGTCCTCGAAATATGCAATTAAATGTGTAGTGTATAAAAGATAATTTTTAAATACAATAGATTCCTCTTAATTGCACGGCTAACTAGTTAAATAAGTCAGAGACATATAAAGTCATATGTCTCTGATGAAGTTTCAGTTAAAATGTATTATCATCATCATAAGCTGATTTCTATAGCCGCAGGATTTGTATCCCCCCATCATTATAGTCAGATAAGCTGATTTCTATAGCCATAGGATTTGTATCCCCCCTATCATTATAGTCAGACAAAGGTAGGCATGCACAACCTGTGATTCCTGTCAATAATAGGTAATGTAAATTGTGCAACAATGATGTAGAAACGGAGAGTCATTTTTTAATGGAATGTATATTTAATGATGATCTTAGATCTGTAATTTTAACGAAAGCAAACAATGTATATGAATTTGTCAATGATATGAACACATTTGAACAGTTCAGATATGTGATGTGTGAACCAGTTCTCCAAAAGACACTAGCTACCCAACTTTCTCTTATGTAGATAGCACACCTCCAATATTGACTGCCCCCAACCCTCCCCATTGTCATTGTAGGTGAAAGACTCACCAGGTAAGAAGATGAACACATTAAGGTTCATGTAAAGTCTGTTTTCAACTAAGTTACAAAAGGTCATAATTACTTAAATTTTACCTTGATATCCCTTATTTTTGTATCACTACGATCCGTAGGATATGAGTAACAGTATGTATTGTTATACCTTTACATTTTATTCTCTATACTCTTCTATAGTGAAAACAGTTCGAAATTCTAGATGTTTGCCTCAGAAAAATGTTGACTGGCTTTGAGAGAAATGTTGACCGCTTACGTCACAGCTCATTACTATTCGGTACTTTCCGGCCAATACTCGCAACTTCCGCTGTTAAGCAATTACCAATAGTGGCATCCCTATAGGAAGTATTGCTCACGTCTGCTTCCGGCCGTCTGCAATGTTTATGTATGTCGGCTGCATTATGTACAATCATGGACAGATTTTCGGAATACACTGCTGCAGAAATTGATGAAATTCTTAATAACAGAGACAGTACAAACACCAAGATTGTGATCAGAGTTGTAGAGAAATTACTAACAGAGTATATTGAAACAAAGCACAACGCATAACCAAGATAAATCCAAATTGGAAACGTCCGAAATTTTGAAAAAGTTATAACAAAACATTTGTAGACTGAGTGTAGGCCGTCGGCCTCAGGCAGCAGTTTGGTCCTCTGGTTCAACATAACACATGTTGTCCTCAAACCCAGTCAACAAATGTATATTAGCTTTCAGTTAAGTTCAGTTCATTAATATTGTTTTAATTGCATTAATTACACGTTATGCAGGAAATAACATATCTACACAAAACAGAGTCGATTTGCAAGGAAATATCAGTCAAAATCTTCCTTAGAACTCATTTCAGGTAGTGGGATTGTTGAAAGTTAACAAACTGCTCCAAAAGACTGACAATCACAATTTCAAAGTCAAGTCATTAGTTAATTTCACCATAAAAATCAGCCATATTGGAACTACTTTTCTAAAACTATGGAGGCCCATGTAGTGTAATACCAAACATTTTTCTTTTTCTAAAACCACCTTTTAACCGAAAAATAATGCATGATATGTAGGTTATCGTTTGTTAAACAAAGTGTCATTAACAAATATTAGATCACAGTAGTTGATTTATATTGATAATTACATTAATTAGCATATTACATACACATACAAGACATTTGAATCATCGTATAAAACAGTAAACCCAGTGTCACCTTATATGTCAACGGAATAGTAGGGTGGCAATCCATAACGGGCATGTATATAAGTTACTAGGTATATTTGTAATTTTTGAATAAAAATAAATACCAATTCTTCAATGAAATTGACATAAATTCCATACATAAAATTTCAAGTTGATGTATTGTGCTATCATTTTAGCGGTTGGATCATGTGTCAAATTTCAATTTGATAACTGTTCATCATTATTGAAGCTTTTGGAATAATTTTGGCATATTTACCAATTTACATATCCGTAAAACAATATTCTCTGCAAGTTTCGGCCAACTAAATCAGTCAAGTTTTACTTTCACGGTGGGCTACTCCGGTACGATTTGAGTGTTCCAGTACATCACACGCGAATGTTCAAACTTTGGAATGTTGCTTTACATGTTGTTGCAGACGTGAAAAAAGCTTACATGTCTTTTGCTTAGTGAGGAAGATACCACGACAACATCATCCCATCTGTTATCACCATATCATAATTGTAGCTACCAATATTTACAAACACACAATGATGGGGTAACTGTCAGGCAACCACGTAATCCTGCAAATAGTCAATTCTGTAAACCTTGTCATCCCCTTCATAGAGATTTCTATACACTGCATCATCAAATCCATCATTCCTATAAAACTGAGTACTGTACAGTTGTAGATTGCCACTTTGTGTGTTTCAATGACCTCTGGTGGAAAATGAGTCGTCAGACAAATTTAATTCAATGTTCTTCGTGCATTTCTGGAAATAGACAATAACAAAGCTAGGTGTTAAAAAAAGTATCTTAATATTTCTTCAAAACTTTTTAATATGCAGAAGAAATTTCACAAATGTATCTTAATGATGTCTCATCAAAAAAAATACCAGACCATCGAAAGTGAAATTACCAAGTGTTTTGAATATTCACTTGTTAAGGCCCTACATTCAATACCATTCATTTTCTTTTACATTGCCACATTTGGACCAAATGACAATGCTTTGGTATCTGGGTAGATAAATATAGTGCAATGATGTATTACCTATAAGGAACTTCTGGATGAGGCTTCAATTCGTCGAGATGAACTGTACGAGATCAGTTGTTATTTGACATGTGCTTATATGGCTTAAATTAGTTGTCCTGCACACCTGTGCTATAAGATAAATAAAAAGTTATCATTAGAGTTATTTAATTGGTATTCAATGTCTATTAAAAATTCACATTCAGATTCATTGCAGACTAATCGCTTTTGACATAGCATACTAATGGCGCCATTTTGAGTGCTGCTTCACTGAAATGCAATGCAGTAGACACTAATTTGACACATGTGCTTCTTCCATGCTTCCATAATTTTTTACATTTTTATTGACACTTCAAACAGTAATATAAATAACCGGTCTTTCAATAAAAACATTAAATTTCACAAGAAAGAACATATGCATTGACCAAAATGTGCCAAAAACTTATTAATTTGTTTTGAACAAAAATATTTTTGCATTCATTTCGCATTTCCTGTTTGTGTCACTTGTCAAAATACAACACACAAATATCGTCTTACCAGGACATCGACTCCAGCAATACATTATCTATGTTTACTTTATGTAAATTACAACTGTATTCTATCCCACAAACCATACTTACAACAAATAAACATTGTCGATCTTCTGCATCTCAGCGGTTTCTCATCAGCTTCATGTTGTTGACGTCTGATGCACATTGCCGGAAGTGAGGCCGCATTAACAGTCCGATCTGGATATTATGATTTCTTTTTCTGTAGTAATACTCCTACATTTGTGAAATTCAATTCGGCATCAAAAGTATTTTATTATTTAAGGAATTATACACTTGTTGTGATAACTATGACAGGACATATTGTCATTTTTGTAAATTAACTGCGGAGCGATATCGCCATGTTGTCCGGAACGAAAATCATACGAAGAGGAAGAAAGTTGGTCTGAATATGAACAGAAGACCTGGTTACGACATGTGCTAATTATTTATGGTTTATTCGATATCAACGCAGTCTATTTCGTGTCGGTTGGTGTTTTATGGGCGCACCGATCGCTTGTGATTGTGACGGAAATAATCACCATTTTTTGACAGCTAAACAATAGAAATGGCGGCCTCCATTGGACAACACGATGACTTTCGATTTAACCAAAATCTATGTATGGATGTTTAAACATAATTTACTCCAAAGGAGTACATCAATGCATATAATGTCTTATTTTTGCCAAAGTTTCAATTCTCAAACATGAATAGGTTATCAGTTCTAATTTTCCCCCGAAATAGAGGCAAAATATTCACTCATTTATATTTCAAATAACACTATATATTGAGTGCGTGGCAAACGTTCAATCATGGCTATAGGGAGTTTGAATAAATAACTTCTTACATTGAAATTGACAATTCAGGACAGCTTGTAATAAAAGTAATATTTACACATGAAAAAAGGTCCCTGGAGGTCAATTACTAGTGTTTACATGAACCTTAAACACCTATATATATAAATGTTAAAAAATGTTAATAGGCAACCAAACTGTATGTATGTTTACTGTACTGTTTTATATTTTAAATATATATATATATCTTTATTTTATATCAATTTGTTAAAGTAAAGCTCTATAGAGTAAACCAGTAATGTTTGTGTATGGATTGATGTATTAAAACATGTGTATAAGCTATTTAGGTTAATTAAAAACTCATTTTACATCATTAATTGTAACCCTTAAATTAAACAATCGCCCTCACACAGCTAACACCATGCACCACATCCCATTCCTCTAATGTATAACCTCAAAACTTTCTTGCAAGCCTCCATCTACAAAAATAACATTCATTTATACATCCTACTAGATAAAATCAATATATTCAACACCTATGTACAGTAAGAGTTTAATATGATATTGGGGGATACTAATCATATGGGGGATACTTATCCTATGGCCATTTGTAGTAACCGGATACTTATCATATGGGGGTTACTTATCTTATACGACACCGGCCTCACAAGAAGATGATGGTTGCTACGGGAAAGTACAAAAATCATAGTAAAACGTGCATAACATATTTTACCGGTATATATACATGTGTAAAACCATAGACCTTTGACAATAAACACTACATAAGCTTCCTATAAAATGTGCTTCCTTAACATTCAATATTGTTAAAAAGGGTTAGACTTGTTATCAACATTGTCTACCTTTCAGCTTCAATGTTTATAAGGCCAAATAAAATGTTTGTTTCCTGTTTCGGCTCCAAAAATAATAGGGTAGGTAGGTAGGAAAAACTTTTTTTTCTGGTTAAGAAAATGTCCTGATTACCTCCAACAACCGTGAATGTTGAAAATGTGATATTGTTTTAATAAAGTATGAATGGCACCAAATAAATATTTTTCATTCATGTAAAATAAATACACACATATATTTTACCTACATAAATTTTAATGGAATAACCAACGTAATTTCAAGGTTATTGGTTTTTTCAATTTGTTCAAATTAATTGAACAACAGAAATAGTACATTAATTGATATTAACATTTTATTTACAACACAACTTTTTTAATCCGTCATAAAATATACAAGTCTTCACCATTGTGAATTTAATCTCTCCACTTCAAACTCATTTCCAACTATAAACTATAAAACTGCACAAATCTACAAACTTAAACCTTTATTATTACTCATTTCCTAATTCTCACTCTAACTTTCTAACTCTCCTCTATATCTCTAGACCTCTCAACTCGGTCTCCCTTAGCTCAACCTCCTTCCTCAAGACTCCTTAACTCAACTCCCCAACCCAACTCTTTTCTCCTCCTTTGACTCTTGCTAATGAAGTTGAACTACCTTACTCTCTGTCCCTAAGCAAAATCCTGCTACATTAAAAATGTTGATAACATTAAAATTGTTGATGCTGCTGATCTTCCTGCTAAAATTGTACCCCTATAGGACTAGATTAAACTGACCATAAATTCTGCTAAATTTGACCCCGGTAATGACAGCATCAGCTGGAGGCACAAACACTGGTAGACTGGACCCCCTACCTAGACTACAGATGGTCACACTAATCTACAGATCCCAACCTAAATCTTAAGCACAATTATCTAAGGCTACTATCTTCAAATAAAACTCTTACACTGATCACCAGCCAAGGCTAATAAAATGCCTAGCAAATCATATGAACACTTTGAACAATTAAACAGCTAATAAATGCATAACAGTGACTGTGAAAAGCCAATAAAAGGTTTTAGGGTCAGCATAAAAAATAGGGTCGATGGGGAGACGGGAAACATAGCTATATTTTTATTTGCCCTAACATGTCCAGCGCATTCATATAATCACAGGATGTTAAATTTAATTCATTTATCGATCAAGGTTACTTAGCCTTTGTTTTCTTATTTATAATTTGCTAAAAATGTATTACCAGGGTATTCTAATATGATTTTAGTGGTTTCGCATGGCAACATCTATTTCTATTTGAGGTTGGTATTCCTCTCAACAGCTAGAAGAAGAGAAATAAATTAAGCTCTGCATGTCACCTAGGTACATGTATATAAATAAACTTTAAACTATGGGTCATTTCTCAGCACCAAGTTGGGTCGCAAAAGAGATTGCCATGTTATAAGTCCAGTGAGCTATTTTTATGAAGACATCAGCCTTAATGCCTGACTAGTAACGTTAACCTGACATGATGCATTTTTTTGTATAGCCAATGTGCATTAGTTCAATATATACAAATAACATATGTAAGCTTTGATTTTCAATTGAGGTCTTTGAACATGACTTACAGTTGGGAACAACCTTAACTTGGTATCTAGTGCACTTCGTAGTGCACACGTGGTGAACAAGGAACAGGGAAGTGCACTTGACAAAACATTGAAGAGCACTCCAGTTCACTTCAGTGTTAACTACAGTGCACTTCGATGCTAACTCATGTGCACTAGTGTTTACCGAGTTTAAAAGACTGAAGTCCATATTTCAATTATTGTTTGTAATGAAATGGGTTCCTTTAATTTGTGATATGAAAATTGAAAGAGAAAGGAAAGTCATTCAACTGAAATTTCATGATATCGAAACAACAATACACATATATTTTTTTTAATCAGTATCTGTTTTGTGATATGAGTAAATGTGGTAAGTTTTCCTATAATTTTATACTTTTTTACGAAAAGGTTTCTCTATAACACGACATCAATAGAGTAATTCCCTTCTTTGTTTAACACAAACCTAGTAGCTTTTATCTGAGCTATAACTGGTCACGTATAATTATCCCAGGCTTTTTTGTCATTCAACAATGTTTGAAAAATTTTCACATATTTTTGAGATTTAACACATTAACCACAATGTTTAACATGCTTTGCCCCAGTGACACTGAATACTGTATAACAAGAAATGTTTGTGTGTATTTTCTGTCGTGGTTTGGAGTTTTCAAATTACAAACTTTCGTGGTTAGCCCTTACTACGAAATGTAAATGCGAGTTATTTTAATTGATCTTACCATCATACTTATAAATGGCCATCATTCTAGTAAACACTGACCTGTTCTCATGATGCCCAGTAGGCCTACCGTTTCACTTGATTATTCACATACTTAATCAATTGATGTTTATACAACAGATTGATAACACACATGTCCATTTCTGTAAAAATATACCTTTATTTTAAATGAATTGTTCAATTATCTTAATATATTCGTTTGTGATTCGCTGTCAATATCACACGTAAATGTAAAATTGTATAAACTAGAATTGAAACATGTGTCTTCACTGTTGTTACATGATCATGACTAACCACATATTGTCATACAATCTCTATACTTTTTTGTGTCTTCACTGTTGTTACGTGATCATGATTAACCACATATTGTCATACAATCTCTATACTTTTGTGTGTCTTCACTGTTGTTATATGATCATGATTAACCACATATTGTCATACAATCTCTATACTGTTGTGTGTCTTCACTGGTGTTGCATGTTCATGATTAAGTTGTTGTATTTATATTCGTGGTTCCATAGCAACAATGAAAGTTTGTACACAACGAACATTTCATGTTATACAGTATGACTATGGTGAAAGTTCATGTATTCGAACAAACTTGAAAGCTATACAACTGAGCATGTTACTGACTGAACATCATCACCCTCTACCTTTTGGTTATTCAGGGGAAGTTGTTTAATATTTTAACATACTTAACCTCTGTGACCTTTAATATGGGTGAAGGTCATTCATTTGAATAAACATGATAGACTTCAACAAACCATGTTACTAGCTAAATATCATCAACCTGGAATTTTTGGCTATTCAGGTTTTTCAAGACAATAAATCCCTGTGACCTTTAATATGAGTGAAGGTTATTTATTTGATAAACTTGTTAACCCTCTATCCCAGCATGCTACTGGCTTATTATCATCATTTTGTTCATTCAGAAGAAGTTGTTTTTAAGTTTTTAATGTATATATATATGACCCCTGTGACCTTGAATATAGGTCACAATCAGTCATTTGAACAATCTTGGAAGCCCTTCATCCCGTTAAATTACTGCCTCAATATAATCACCCAGGTTACTCATAGGTTGTTTTAATGGGTTTTTTAAAGACAATTGACCTATGTGACCTTGCATAATACTGGTTAAATTCCATCACCCTAGGTCTTTTCACCATTTAGAAGAAGTTGTTTAAAGATTTGATTAAACAAGAATGTATATTGAACCCTGTGACCTTGAACATAGAAAAACGTTCTTCATTTGAACAACTTTGGTAACCATTTATACCAGCATGCTACTGGCTAAATCATTATCACTTCTGTTATTGTTCAGAAGAAGTTGATTTTCTAGGTTAACATATTTGACCCCTGTAACCTTGAATATAAGTCAATGTCATTAATTTGGACAACCTTTGTAGCCCTACATGAAAGCATGTTACTGGCCAAATATCATCACCCTGAATCTTTTGGTTATTCAAAATACCAGGGTAAGTTGTTAAAGAGTTCTTTAAGACAATTGACCCCTGTGACCTTGAAAATGGACGAAGGTCATTCATTCTAGCATGCTACTGGCCAAATATCCTTACCCTAGGCCCTTTGTTTATACAGGAGAAGTTGGTTAAAATAAAAGTTGTTGTCGTACGGAACTAGCTCAATTTTATCCTAAAGCACCATGCTTGGTGTGATATCTGTAATTGCTTACCTTATACTTACTTAACCTATTTCTACTAATGTATAAATGTACTGAATTTCTAAGAGCACAATATATTGTGATACATTGCAAAATAAAAATTGCTTGCGCTACCCATCCCTACAGAATACTAGAATCAGACATTTCAGGTATTGATCATAGAAATAAATTCTTAAAATTTTGTTCCAAGGAGATTATTGTTGAAATTTGGAAAGTTTGATCCCAAATACAATACCTTCTGATAAAAAGATCAAACTGGCTGCACTTGTATCTGTGTGGTCCTCAAACAGGACATACATTATCTGATACATTACCTCCTGATACAATGATCATACTGGCTGAACTTCCTCAAACAAGACATACATTCTCGAGTACAATACCTCAAGACACAAAGATCATACTGGCTTCACTTGTATCTGGCTGTTCCTCAAACAAGACATACATTCTGATACATTACCTTCTGATTCAGGGTTTGTCCTGTTTGTACCCGACTGGTCCGGATCATCAGACAGGGCCGGTCCTTTCCCTTCTCTCCCTTTAGTGTCAGCCTTTGGCATGGTTTACTAATGTAATGAAACAAAGGCAAGAGAGATCATAAAATGAAACAAGAGATCCCAGAGGGATGCTGGCATCCACCATTACATGTACAAAATCATACAGATCTTGTTTTTCTACCCTAGTTGAAATCCAAGTTTGATCTTGTCTAGCTTGACAATTTTTTTCTTTCTGTAAATGAATTAATTTAAAGGTCACTAGTAATTGCATAATGCTGTGATTTTTGACACAAATATTGTACAGAAATGTTAAAAGAGTCTGGCTGCATTTTTTTCCATTAAAAGCTAAAAAAAATGGTTAAAAACTAGATACTGTACAAAATGGAAATTTCCGCAGTACATAAATTAGGCATTGAGAACATTGGTGACTAGCAATGAACTAATGTTACTGACATGACAAAAGGCATGTTTTGTGCTAAATTTTTTGACAATGTAAGGTATAAAGATTCACGAGATATTCTGATGCCAATGACGACACTGTCGCGCAGTAGCCAACACTATGAGTGTCAGGCATTTTATAGTAGCACGGTATTGAATGACAACCATGGGGCACAGGGGCACGCAACTACTAAACTTAGCAAGCAAGTTCAGTGATTACTTTCTGAATAAAATCAGCTCAATCAGGAAAAATATTGCCGAAGTGAACACCTCTGCTGACATTGACATCTCTGATGGGGAACCATTGGCAAAGCTCTCACCAACAACCCAGGACGAGTTGCGCAACATTACCATGGCCTCGCAATCGAAGTCCTGTGAGCTTGATCCACTGCCTACAAACCTATTAAAGCAATGTCTTGAAACACTGCTTCCTTTGATTACCTCAATCATGAACAAATCATTGGCTGAGTCAAAGGTCCCATTATGTTTCAAGAAGGCACATGTCAGACCATTGTTAAAGAAGCCTGGAATGGACAAGGAGGAGTTGAAAAAGTATGGCCCAGTTTCAAATCTGCCTTTTCTGTCTAAGATCTTGGAGATGGCTGTGTCCCGCCGTTTAGAGGTTCATCTCCATGCAAACAGTCTCCATGACAACATGCAATCGGCCTACCGCATGGGACACTCTACTGAGACGGCCCTCCTACGTGTACATAATGATATAGCTTCTGCATTGGATAACAAGTGCAGAGCGGTGCTTGTCATGCTGGACTTGTTAGCTGCATTCCATGGCATACTTTATAAACGTCTGGAATACTCTTATGGAGTGACTGATACCGCACTATGCTGGATACAGTCTTACCTGAGTGAACGACTATAGTGTTTTCCCATCGGATCTTCCACCTCACATGACAAAGTACTAAATCTCAGGGTTCCTCAGAGGTCGGTTTTAGGACCACGAAAATATTGTATGTACTCCAAACCCATTGGAGATATTTGTCGTCGCCATAGCCTTCGCTATCATTGCTATGCCGATGACACACACATTTACATGGTCATCAAACCACAGGACAGTTGGAATACAGTCTCAGAAAGCCTGGAGGCTTGTCTGACAGATATCAGTACCTGGATGAACGCCAACGTGCTTAAGCTTAATTAGGAAAAGACGGAACTAATCGTCTTTCCCAAAGTGTCAGCACACAATGGCTCTCCAGCTCAAGGTCGGTGCCAGAACTATTGAGACTGTTCCAGCTGTTAAAATCCTAGGGGTATACTTTGATAGTTCACAGAACATGGAGAACCAAGGGAACGCTATTGTCTAATCATGTTACTACCAGATCAGAAACATCGGCTGTATTCGGCAGTTTTTAACTGCAGATGCATGCAAGATCTTGGTGCATTCACTTGTTACCTCTCGGTTGGATTATGGTAACGCCCTGCTCTGTGGTATATCTGACAAATTAACTAGTCGTCTGCAGAGGGTCCAGAACACTGCAGCACGGCTAGTTACTCGTACTCGAAAGAGAGAGCACATCACACCTGTGCTTTATTCGTTGCACTGGTTACCTGTACGATACAGGTCGCAGTACAAAATNCCTACGGAAACAGATGCTTTGGGAGGGTTTCGGCTACGTTGTGGAATAGCTTACCATCTGCTATTAGAAAGTCAAATACCCTGGCCAAGTTCAAGAAGGACATCAAAACTCACCTCTTCACGTCTGCATTTTAGAATCCTTGCAAAGACGTCATGTAAATACCACCCTTTTATTTGTTCAATTATGTGCACATTGCTTGCTTATATGTATAAAAGTGATTGTAAGCCTTTGTTTTTACAATTATAACCATTACTATTATCCATATGTTGTAAAACGCTTTAGAGTAACTTTACAAATTATATAGGGCGCTATATAAATGTGGTATATTATTATTATTATTATTACAAGCTAACCGGTAATAAGATTTATATATATATTTTCAATTCCGCCGTGACTATTCTCCATAATTATGTTCATGTAGCAAACACTAGTGGAAGCAAGTGTTTTCCTTTTTAAAAGCACTGGATAAAGTCTTGAGTGTAATCAGCCCAACAGAACTCCAAATATAAGTAGTGCATTTTATAAACAGTGATAGAGACCTAACCCCCGGGCCTTGAAAGTTATTCCAAGCAGGCACTTTCTTTGAGGAAGCACTGTATACAGTCAAGAGTGTTAACAGCCCAAGAGAAATCAAGATATTGTACATTAGTGCATTAAACAGATTTTCTGTTTATAGTGACTCATTGACCTTTGACCACTGGACCTGAAAAGTTATCCCAAGCAGGCACTTTCTTCCAGGAAGGACTCGATAAAATCTGAGTGTTATCAGCCAACAGAATTCGAAATTCAGTGCACAAACTGATGTTTTATTTATAGTAAGTGACCATTACCTTTGATATCAAAGACTGAAAAGCTATCCAAAAGCTTAAGCAAACATTTTATTACACTGGATAAAGTCCGAGTGCATACGGCCCAAAAGAGCCCCAAATGTTGTGCATGAAATGTTTTTCTATTTATAGTAACATGAACCTTCAACTTTGACATCGATGCCTCAAAAGCTACAATTTGTATCCTAAGCAAATACTTTCTAGAGTAACAATGACCTTAACCTTTCACCACCAAAGTACCAAAGCAGGCACTTTCTACGAGGTAGCACTTGATAAATCCTGAGTGTAATCATCCCAACAGAATTGGAAATATTGTGCCTAAACTAATTTTCTATTCATGGTAACAGTAACCTTGACCTTTGACCTCCGGGCCTGAAAAGCTATTCAAAGCAAGCACTTTCATCAAAAAAGCAGTGGATAAAGTCTGAAAGCAATCCAACTAACATAACTGAAGATATTGTGCAAAAATTAAACAAGAAGCCCAATGGGCCTGTGTCGCTCATTTGCTTCTAATGCAACTTTGAAACTGATCTAGGTAATTTATGTGGATGCTAAGCTCATTACCACTTTATTCAAATATAGCACATTTGACCCATGTGACCTTGATCAAGGTCATTCATTTGAACAAACTTGGTAGCCCTTCATCTCAGCATGCTACAAGCCCAATATCAGGTCTCTGGGCGTCTTAGTTATTGAGAAGAAGTTATTTAAAGATGTCAGCACATTTGACCCATGTGACCTTGAAAGTCGGTCAATGTCATTCATTTGAACACATTTCGTAGCCTCTTATCCAGGCATGCTATAGGCTCAATATTATGATCCTCTTCGTTATTGAGAAGTTGTTTTAAGACATTTGACCTCTGTGACCTTGAAAGGCAAGCAAGATAATTCATTTGAACAAACTTGGCATTCCTTTATTCAAGCATGCTACAGGCATAATATCAGGTCTCTGGGCCCCTTGGCTATTGAAAATAAGTTGTTTAAACATTTTACCTTATTTAACCCTTGTGACCTGGAAAAGTCGGGCAAGGTCACTCATTTGAACAAAGTTGATAGCCCTTCATCCCAGCATAGCACAGGCCCAATACCTGTCTCTGAGCCTCTAGGTTAATGAGAAGAAGGTGTTTAAAGAGACTTGAAAATGTTTGTAAGACATAAATGCCCCCGATGCCATATGAAATTAGTTTCAGTGTTCTATAAAATGTTACAACCACTTTGATCTTGATAACCTGAAACATGCACACACATAAGGTACTACAGTTGATAAGTTGACTTTAATATTCATATGTTTTTTCTGTATGTTATTACCATCTCTATAACATATTGGATGAAGTTGCTAAGTGTTTAAATTGAATCTGTAGATGATTTCCCATATATAGCAACAGTGACCTTGGCCTTGATCTTGGAACCCTGAAACACAACAATGTCTGAAGTATACTCATACTTGACCTTTGTATAAAGTTTGACCAAAAACTGTCAAAGAATGAATCAGTTGTTGATTTTCTGTATATAGCAAAAGTGACCTTGGCCTTGACCTTGGAACCCTGAAACACAAGGGTATACCCATATTTGACCATTGTTTAAGTTTGACCAAAATCCGTGAAAGAATGAAGTTGCTAAGTGTTTAAATTGAATTAGTTGATGATTTTCTATATAAAGCAACAATGACCTTAGCCTTCACCTTGGAACCCTGAAAAATGACAATGTCCGAAGTATACTCATACATGACCTTTGCTGAAATTACATAAAGGTTGACCAAAATCCATGAAAGAATGAAGTTGCTAAGTGTTTAAAAATTAGTTGATGATTTTCTATATATCGAAAGTGTGACCTTGACCTTGGATCCCTGAAATACAACGAAGTATGAAGTATACTCATACTTGACCTTTGTATAAAGTTTGACCAAAAACTGTCAAAGAATGAAGTTGCTAAGTGTTTACATTGAATCGGGACGGGATGTGACGGGAAGGGATGATTTTCTATGTATAACAAGTGTGACCTTGGCCTTGACCTTGGATCCCTGAAATACAACGATGTCCGAAGTATACCCATACTTGACCTTTGTATAAAGTTTGACCAAAATCTGTCAAAGAATGAAGTTGCTAAGTGTTTACATTGAATGGGGATGTGACGCGACGAAACGGGACGGGTAGACGAACGCCGCACCAGGTCAAAAGCTCACTTGTCCTTGGCAGGTTAGCAAAAACAGATA